TAAATATATTTCATTTCATTTTTACAGACAAACAATAAAAGGCTGAATATGGAGCTTGCACACATTTCAAGTAACGCACTCTCTATTTCCTCACTCTCATAAGGCGACGTCCTAACTGGCAACGATCGTACGAGCGAACGATGAGATTTCGTCGCATGACGAGATGAAACACACACACACACACACACATTTCTTTATAGTGTCCTAATTGAAGCTTGAAAGTGATCGCGCGAGCACAAGAAATGCTTAGTAATGGTCGTACGATGGGTTTGATCGCACGATCGTGCAATCAAAGCTACAAATCTCTTTTGAAATTCCGAACAGGTCACGCGCCATTGCGCGAGCGCAGCAACGCCCCATGCGTTCCATCGGTGAGTGAAATTGAGGTTTCCTTCTTACCGATAGCTGCCAATGTCGAGTTAATGAAATTTTTAGATTTGTTAACTATTCAGTATATAAGGAAATAAAAAAGCCTCCGTCATTTTCGCGCCATTTCGACCTAGAAGCAAACATGTCGACAGAGGGAAAAATCAAATTGACGACTCTAGATATATGCACTTATTTAATACTTTTTATTGTTTGTTTACAGTAAAATTTACTTAACAAGTAAGTATAAAATATCTTAGGTATATAATATTTGGAAAAATATTTTCATAATTTTTTGCGGTGATCATTTTAACCATACGTATGATAAAACGATATTGCATACTATTTATTTGTTATAATAATTATAAATCAGTATTGGTTATAGCAATTACGTTGAGAACGATTTTAAGCAAATTTTTTACACATTTATTACAAAAATTAATTTTGTATGAAAATATTAAAAAATTTTGTCTTGTAATTTTTTAACAAAATAAATAAAGTTTTGTGAGTGGCGATGTTTTAATTATCTATGCTATTAGATAATTAAAAAATTAAAAATATTCAGGAATACGTATACAAAATTTCAATTCGAAATCTCAGGAAACAAAAAGTTATAGATTTTGGAGATGGAACGCACTGTTTGGTCCCATAGTGAGCCGTAGTGGCGACGGCGCGGTGCGGCGACATCGCGTCATGATACATGTTGGACCATGTGCCAACCAAACGATGAAAAAGATCATGCGATGAAAGCGCATCCTTTTATCTTAGGATAACACCTAATCCAATGGAACCGATAATCCGACAGGACCGGAAAGACATTAGATGCAAGACCAACGCCTTTACGTGCTTTCCGAGGCATGGGATGAACACACAGCAAATATGCTGCTACCAGAATTTCTTAACGAAAAAATCCGATAATTTATTTTGATCCGATTTGAACCCAGGACATTATCACTATTCACAACGAGGCATTGTTATTGATGTCGTCACAGAAGGACTTAATTTTAAATAACCCATGCGATTGTTACAAGTCTGTAAAGCAAAATAACGTCAATTTATTTTAGGTAATTCCGCTGTTTGTAAATACACAAATATTTATTATTTATTACCAATCTATTTGCAACAGTAAACTGATACTGATTAATAATACAACAGGAAATGAAATATCTGTTTATATTACGTATTTATGTTGAAACTATAAATGTTAGAAATAATCTGTATTAATAAATATTTGTATTTTTTATTATATGGGTATAGTTTACGATGAGACATCGTATAATATAGTCTACGGTTGAGTCATTTGCTTATTCATTTATAGTATATAAATAATTATAATATTAGCACTACAAAGAGAAAAGGTGAGGATGAGAAGATCAAGACATAATTAAAATAATGTTTGAAAAGTGTGATGTCCTTCTTTTAATTTTTGACTACAACGTCAACTTACAATTCGTTGAAAGCTATCAATTGCGCAGGACACAACCTATACGTCGTATAATGATTACGCAATAAAATCCGAAGTAGATCAGGTTCGAGTTCAGATCAGTTGTAGCAAATATTCATAACATAAATACACTCGAAAATCAGTAATTCTAGTTTCGCCATTACTAGTCGGTGACATGACATTACACCGAGTATGCTACGTTAAAAATATGAAAATTATCGACTTCATTTATTATTTTTCTTAAAACTTAGCCCCGCGGCTTCTTTAAAGCAAGCGATTAGCTAATTTTTCTACGTCTTGATTTTTATAAATATCCGACCACTGGCGGCGGCCCTATACGCTCTATTCTTTTCTTCATCATCCATTTATGACACCCAGGCCCGACGCCATTTCATTGTACAGCCGTAAGCACAAACGGGCCTTTGCACCCTCAGTTTTGCCAAGGCATGGCGCAGACATTTCTTGGCAAGGCGCTGACTGATTACTCCGACGTAGCAGTTTTGTCATTTAACTGTTACGTCAGCGGGCGATGGAGTTGCCACTACCTTACGCTGTACCGTAATACCGTAGTACTTCGTTTTATTATTATTTGGGGTATCTATATAATTTTCTCATTTAGTTAGGTTCTATAAATATATAATTATACATTAAAATGAAAAGATAAATATACATAAATATCAATAAAATAAAAACAAATAAATACATAAATAAATAAAGGTCAAACCAGATGGAAGCCCTCGGCAAGGGAGACCAAACAGGCGGGGGTTAGGGGGAAAGGGAAAGAAATCGGGGACGATGCGGGCGGTATCGAGGAGCACCTCCTTCTGCATTTGAACCCGGAACAGTCCGTCACGGAGTCCCAGTCGCCTCAGATGACCCGAGAGGCTGACTGGGATTAGTCTATTCGCAAAGACGACTACAGGAATAATTTAGGTCGGCAGACCACCCCACATGTCGGTCACCTCGTGATCCAGGTCCAGATATTTTGTTCGCTTATCTGTTTCGGCTTTCACGAGATTCTCGTCATAGGGAATGGTAATGTCGACCAAAACTATCCTTGACCGTGCCCGGTCCATCAGCACAATATCAGGCTTATTCGCAAGAATAGTCCTGTCTGTGATGAAGGCCCGGTCCCAGTAGAGCCTGGCGCGGTCATTTTCGAGCACGGCTTCCGGCAAGTAATTGTAATACGGCAATTTCCGATCCATGAGACCGTATTTCAGAGCTAGCTCCTGGTGAAGAACTCTGGCTACTGGGTTGTGTCTGTGCAAGTATTCAGAATTAGAAAGCGCCGAACAACCGGAGATGACATGCCTAAGTGACTCACCGGGATGGCGACAAGCTCGACAGATGTCGACGGTACCATCCTTTAGGATGTATCTTCGATAGTTGTTGGTCTTAATAATCTGATCCTGTATACACAGACAAAACCCTCGGTTTCCCCGAAGAGGTCACCAAAGCCTAGCCAGTGGAGGGAGGCTACTGTGTCTACGAAAGGTTCATGTAGAGCCTTGTAGAACCTCTCGTGAAGCTCCTTCTCCTTCCATACGTTCCCCGGTCGGAAATGCTCCGCACTGCCGGGTCTTACCATTGCTCGTTGGCTAAGGATAGAGGGGCAAGTCCTTTATCACAAGAAATGACGTCCTTATAGAATGGATCATCCGATCTCGCCAGGAAGTAATTACGGAGGCTGCACTCTTCGCGATTATGCATGGGGAGCGCGCTCAAGAAGCCACGCCCACCATACTTTCACGGCAAGTACAGCCTCATTACCGACGATCTCGGATGATGCATCCTATGGGACGTCATGGTAGTGCGGACTTTTCTATCCAGGGCGTTAAGTTCAGTCTGAGTCCACCTGAGTATGCTAAAGGTATACATGAGTACAGGCATGACCAAACTGTTATATGCGTGTGTCTCATTCACACCGGACAAAAGGCTGTTAAGCACTTTGGTCAAGCGTGCACAAAACACGTCGCAAAATGACTGTTTCATACCAGCCTCATCGATACCGATGTTCTGTGACGACATACCCATGTATCGGTATGTTTCAGCCTCGGAAAGGGTCCTTAAGTTGACGGACATAGATAAGTCTATGCCCTCAGAGTTAGCAACCCTTCCCCTTTCTACATGGAGGGCCGACCACTTATCCGACGCTCCATTCCAATGGAATTTCTAAATTCACAAGTGATGTTTAGCAATTCCATAAGATGGTAGCGACTGGAGGCGAATAACTTGAGGTCATCCATATAGAAAAGGTGGGTCTTTTTGTCACTTTTGTCCCTCCTTTCCGTAGCTGAAATCCACTCCCGAAGTCCTACAGTACGGTACTGAGAGGGTTCAGAGAGAGGCAGAACCAGATTGGACTCAGACAATCGCCCTGGAAGATACCCCTTCTTATCCTTATGTGGTTCTCCGCAGCCATCATCCGCTCGCCCAGATGACCAAAGATCGTACTCCACTGCCCCATACACTGTTCGAGGAAGTCTCTATCTGTACAGTCTATCTTGTACAGCTTGAGGACTCTCTTTAGCCATGTATGGGGCACCGAGTTGAATGCCTTTCTGTAGTCTATCCAAGCAGCGGAGAAGTTCCGACGGTTGCGTTTCACCACTTTGCCAATGACCGCGTTAATGAGGAGTGGTTCCTTGGTTCCACGACCACCACATCCATTTTGAGCGCGCGACATCACCTGATTGGAGTCCAGGTGACGAGTGATTCTCGCACTCAAAATGGATGTTAGTGTCTTGTATATGGTCGGTAGATACGTGATGGGGCGGTATTTGCTCGGGTCTGTGGTACCCTGGTCTTTAGGAACCAAATGGGTGATCCCAGTAGTGAAGAGGCTCGGGAGCGACTTCTGGTTGAGAGCCTCTTGAAACTGTCGGGCGAGCACAGTGTGACACACCACGAACCCCTTCAGCCAGTATTGATGCAGCCCATCAAGTCCCGGACTTTTCCAGTTCGGGGCCCTACGGACCGCCTCAGATACGTCATCCGGTATTATAATGACGAGATCCATGGGCGTTATACTCGCACACTGACTCGTCACAACTTCCGTACAAGCGCCCTCGATGTGGTTTACGGGCTCTGACCACAGGCCGCGCTTGAATGCTACAGTGTCAGCCTAATTCGGTGCTGGGCCCGTTCCACTTACCATTAATCGCTCCAATGATTCATGGAGCCTCTTCTAATCACTCTGGAAGAGACGATTCTGGTTGAATCGTGTCGACCTCTCGGTATATCGCCGAATCCGCTTTCCCCAAGCAGCGATTCTCTGCTTCAGATCATCTATGCGCTCTGTCAGTTTTTGCGTTATCTTCGGCTGGGACAAACCAACATTTGTCCCAGCAAACGCCATCCTGACGGTGCGCACAATTCTTGGCCTGTTATTGCCTGATCTGAAGCATATCAGTCTGCCGATGAGAGCTCTAGCCTTTGTGATACGTTCCTCAATTCTTGTTCTCCATGCTGGGATAGCGCTACTTTGGCCAGTAGCTCGTCCATCCGTGGAAACCTTGGCGCCTATAGTACGGCAGACTACCAGCGCGGCACCAAGAAGAATTGAGTCCGTCTCGCAAAGGTCCCGGATGGCTTCCAAATAGGTCACCAGCATTGGGTTCAGAGCCCTCACGACAGCCCGATTTCGCTTGCTTAGGGCTATGCGGGGAAGTTGCAGTCGATTTTCGAGAGGTGTACTGCGCGTTTCCACAATTCCCTCTTCCAATGTACTCCTTATTTGCTCTATTTCTAGTTCCTGGGTTAATTTTGCATCATCATTTGAATCAGCAACCACTGGGGCATCCACGTGTGCGGGTTGTTCTGCAACTTGTGGCAATACATCCTCAGCCGTAGCATTTTCATTTGATGAGGGAAGAGCCCCACGTCGTAGCCGTTTCATTCGGCACCAGCAAAGCGTAAGATACACCGAACTTGGTCTGCCAGGTTTTGCTCGGTGACGGTAATAGATGGCTCCAGCTCAGTAAAAAGACGATGCATCCTAGCCCGATACGCGAAACCTCCAATTTCCCACCCTTTCGCCCTAAAATATGCCCGCAATGCGTTTGTATTCATATTGATGGTCGTACTCAACCAGTGGCGGGTGCCGATTGCTGGGTCTGCGAAGACCCTGCCGACACCAAGCAAGCCGGTGGGGATGATGGATGCGTGGGGCTGCTGCTGGGTGTTTGTGCAGCACCTCGCGTTCGGCTGGCAGTTCGCATACTTTCGCGTCCAGCGCCAGCTCCAAACGTGCCCTGGCGACCTTCAGGCAGCGGCCCTTTGCGCAATCTTCTGTGTTCCATCATTCATAGTGGGCGTTATTTAACGGCAGACGCCCAGACCCGGCGCCGTTTCATGGTGAGGCCATATGCACAAGCGGGCTCTTACACCTTCAATTTTTGCCGAGGCACGGCGCTCACACCTCTTGGCAAGGTGCTGACTGACTGCGCGGACGTAGCAGTTTTGTCACATAACCGTCACGTCAGCGTTATTATTGCGTTAGCAGTTATTATTATTATATGTCAACTATTGAATACAGACCACTTGGGTCGACCCACAGAAAGAGATATTTATTATAGTTGTTACACTTAGAAAGCGAGTTGGCATGTTCAGTTTTATACTATTTTGGGTTGTTATTAGAAAGGTGCTACTGATTAAAGATGATCGTTTTAGGTCCATCTGTCACCATTTTTTCCCTTTGTCGACAGCAACGGTATGATATAAGGTAGTGGATTCTTTTACGTCGCCACCATACAGCAGAATGTGTGAATATTATAATTTTTAATTTTTCCAAGCATTTTAAAAGCGCACTACCTAATAAAAATAACAAGAGGACCTTACACAGTTTATCTTGGTAATAATTATTTTCTCCATGTATATTTGTCTTTAGCCTAATTTTATAACATAAAATCGACTTTAAAGCAGAATTATTTATTATTTTTTGTATTTTTGTAACGCGAAATCTTTGTCAATTTCAGGAAAAATCCCATTATTGATAAAAATATTTAACGTAACTATTTAGACCTTATAATATGATGAGAAGCTTATTAGATATTCTCTGAGAGCGTGGTGCGGAGTTTTGTTTGAAAATGTTCACTAAACCTGAAGCAAAATACAAGTGTAGTTAAATTTTTAACTGTGGTTGAGCGGCGGGCCTATTCCCCGGTCGAGCCTTGACCCTATTACGCGAGATGTTACACCATGTGGACTGTATACGCGGATGGCTTCTTCTGTCTCAACAAAATGGCGGCTATAGCATGCGGTTTCCTGACAATGCACTCGCTCTTCCAAGAAAACCTATTGCTTGCCAAGGTTTATGAAGGAACCCCTGCTTGACCACATTAGGAGGAATGAAATTGGGGCGGATGAACTAATAAAACACAAATATCAAGCAGGGTAACGTAAATAAGGAATCGCACTTACCGGGGTGTTACTTCGATGCGACTTGGACGCTTTGCTGCTGCGTTGCGACTTCTGGCGGATCTCCTGGGGCCCTAGAGATGCGGTCCTGGTCGATGGTGCGATGGAAGAGTGCGGTACGCGACTATATCTCACACGAGGTGAGGCGGTTACTCCTGGAGCTCGACTGCTCTAGGCTAATGCGGCTGAACTAGAGGTGTGCGTGGGCAAAGCCCTCTAGGACACGACTGTCCTAGGCGGCGTGGTTCCAACTGGCGGCCGAAGGAAAGAGAGAGCGCGAGTGCCGCGTGCTAGCTTATATCACTTCGGTCCTTCTTTCAAGGCACGCGATATTCTAGAATCATCTTCCTTCCCCTCTCACCTCACCACCCCGGTGTGTACGGAAAGGATAGGTGAAGGAAAGGTCGAAGAAGGTCGAAGGAAGGACAAGCTTGGCAAGTCTACCTTCGAATAAAATTAAAAATACGAATGGTTTTCTTCGCAACCAAACTGAATCCGTAAAAAAAATTTCTTGGAGAAAGCTAACATTTTATTTTTGTTTAAAGTAGCTTGCAGAGATAATATTTTTCTTAAAAAATGAATTTTCCTGCCATATGGGTAAGTTTTGTCATTAATCGTATTGAACGAAGCTTTATAAAATATAAATTCACTGTAAGCAGATGTAATTTAAGAGATATTAGTCTCATAAGTAATTTATTACAGCCAATAAAGTCCAATGCTGAATATAAGCCTTCCCAACATATTAACCTCTAAATCCCCTAGCGGTCTCATGAGTCCGCGGCCGTATTCCGTAAATCCCTAGCGGTCTTATGAGAACGCACCCACCCACAACACTTTAACCCGTAAAAACTTATATATAGAGACTACTTTACTAGATGGAAATTTGGCATCATAGAATGAGTATAAAATTTTCTATCCTCTAGTGCAATAAAAATTAAGTTATTTTATAGATATTTATTATTATCTACGTTAATTTCATACGCCATTTTCGCGGGAATGTTATTGTGTTGATTTTTGGATTTTTCTAGTGTTTTATTATAAAATTGTGATGTTAGTTTTGTGTGAATATAATTTATCTTTTTACGTAAATAATTTTATGTCATATATATTGAAATAATTGTGATTTTCACGCTGCCGACATTCGCTTGGTATGTTTTTTTTTTTGTTATCGAAATACAATAAAATCTTTAAGTAATGAAATAAAACCTGACTTTTGTTTAGACCACAGGATAAAAATTTGTATAAAATTTATAATGCCACACTTCCTCATAGAAAAGTAGTCTCTAAATATAAGTTATACTGGTTTAAAGTGCTGTGGGTGGGTGCGGTTGCATGCGACCGCTCGGGATTTGCCGGGCGCATGCGATTGCATGGGATTTTTATTAGGTTTGAAGGGTTAACTCAAGTAGGATTTTGCCTTAGATGCCAAGCTTGGCAGATTGGTAAACGCAGCTTTTTATTATATTGAGTTGTTAGATGAAGAAGATGCTGGTGCCTATCTTATTTCACTTTCCCACTTCACGTTATCACTTCTCACGACAATCACTTGACGATATGGGATAGTAGATATTCTGACATCGCATCTTATTATTATCAGTTTGTATGGCAGAAAATCCTCCCAAAATACGCTAAGCCCAAAATTTACGGATTGATGATGAAAAAAAGCATTTAAACCATGAGGGTACGCCTCTCGACTATGCTTTTCTCCCAATGAACGGTCCCAATTATATATACTTAACACAAGTTTGATAGGCATGCGGGCATATACTTCGAAAGTTGCACGTCTGGAAATTCAATTATTTATTATTTATTATTGATGATGATAACGATGATTAACAAATTGTCCATTAGTAGCAAATTGCCGTATAGTAGACTATGAATACGTTTGTCACAGCGTAATGGAATTTCATTTGAAGATTGAAATTGAAGATATTGTTGTGTCCAATAGATGAACTTCAAACCATTATTGCATGTGTAGTGAAGACTAATTACCAGAAAAGGCATTAAAGAGAGTTCTGCTACTGTAACCACTAGTTGACCTATAATTCAATATAAAGCAGTGGGCTCTTAACAAATATAAATAAAGTGAGTACACAACAACTATTCGATACAAACTGTTTTACCCAAAAAAATGCTAAACAATGTTTTTTTGTCATATTTATAACAAACTTACACAGCGTGGTCAATGTGAACAAGATTATAAAGGTGGCAATTGGAAGTTAAGTTGGTAAACACAGAGCCAATACCCTCGCATTGATAATGCTGTTCCTTATCGCTAATCCCATTTAAGTTTAAATAATCCCTTAAAACTCTTGGCGTCCTAGTAATATTAAAAAAAAACAGTTAAAACAACTTCTAAATTTGGTTTAGACCTATGAGTTGCTGAAACAAAAAGTATAATATTAAATTCTCACTTCGTTTTTAGGGAAAATTTCCCTTACATCAACAAAATTATCCTCTGAAAGTTATTTGATTAATGAAGTTTGGAAGATTAAAATTTTCGGTCAAAAGTTTATTAAAGGCACTAAAACCGCCACGTTTCATAATTAGCAAAAGCTAAAATTTCTTTATTAAATGTGTTTTTAAATAAAACTAAATACCCAAGTATTATATTTTTTTGCTTAAAGCTTAATTCAAGGTCTATTTAACGTGGAATTGTACCACTGGTGTGTGAATTCTGATCAAGGAGATTAGCGTCTAGAGTTTTATTTTTTATATTTAAGTTTGCAGTGAAGTGTGTATTAGCGGAAATAACGTAGAATATATAAGCAGATAAACACTGAACATGAGCACAGAACACACTATTTTAGCACGCTACTACCGACGAAATTTTAGATTTTCAATATTACGCCACAATTTCTCCACGTCATGGCGCAAAGGGTGGGCACGCAAACTTGCAATATAGAGCAAGAAGAAGACTGGTTTTTTGCTGTAATTGCAACCTATAATATTTAATCTTTGCGCTTTGTTGATAATAATATTAAGGTCGAAATATAACTATAAATATTAAATAAGAATAAGATGTCTGTGGTAATTTGAGAGATCTATAGGATGATACTTTTTTGTCACCTTATTCTTCCTTGGTTATATATTGTTTAAACATTGGCACGCTAGATGGCATCCAAGTGATCTTAAATAATTCTGATAAATCAATATCTTAAGTTCAATAATTGGTTAATTTCCTTTCCAACCGTTAAAAAAACAGTATAAAATAACATAAAACTAATGACCTTAGACACCTATGTTTTTCTGTAAACAATTTTATTACTTATTATCATTGTGTGGCATATCAAAAGTCGTGTAGGTAAAGCGACGTTGCCGTTCTTCCTGACAACAAACTGCCGTAGACAGAGAAGTCTACGTATTCCTGACCTTGAATTGAAGAAACAAAAGCGTTGCCAAACTTACGTACGTTCACTTGTTTGACTTGTATAAAATATATTCTGATTTCGGTTGTCACGCGCTATGATTTGCGCGCGG